ATTAAAAAGGATTTAATTTGATTAGAAATCGCATTAATTAATTAACGTGGTCCACCACGGATCGTGGACCCTTGCCTAAACTAGAGTCATAAGCCTATTAGGAATAAAGAAAGTATACCTTTACTATTAAGATTATGGTTAGGATTCTCTTTAATTAATTTATATGGTCCACCATGGACCATGGACCCTTATCCCTAAAACATGTCCTTAATCCTATAAGGAATAGAATTAGTAAACCCATACCATTCAGACCCTAATTAGGACTCCTAAATATATATATATATATATATATATATATATATATATATATATATATATATATATATATATATATATATATATATATATATATATATATATATATATATATATATAAGGACATAGGAGGCACATAGAAGTCACACCACAATAAATATCACCACACAAGAACTCCCAAGGGACTCCCCGCCACCAAGCCTAGGGAGATCAAAACGGATGGAAATCTTAGGGAAGAACCTTAATAGCCAAGGGATGATTAATTAAGGCTAAGAGGTAACCCATGTCTCAACAAAACCTTGATAGTTCTTGATGTTAAAGATAAATTGTGATTTTGATGAATTGGGAGGGATTAGAGCCCTAGGATGGATTGGGAATTTGTGTTATAATGTTCTTGATATAAATTGGGTGGGATTTCGCATGTGCGGGTGTTGTTTATGTTTAGAAGTCATAATAGGATGAGTTATACGTGATTCCGGCTTTTGATCCATTAATTGACTACGTGGTGTCGTTAATTGCGTTTAAAAGTGTCTAAGCATGGTTTCGGGTTCCACAAAGGATCCCGAGACGGATTTGTGATGAATGAGTCAGTGGGGGGTAAGGGTACCCGCTGGCCGAAGATCACCGCCGGGTAGCGGGCAGGCGTCCGCCCGCCGGCAACCCGCTGCCGGGCAGTGATCTCTGGCGGGCAGCCGGCGGGTGATCCCTCACCCACCGGCTACCCGCTGGTCCGTTATCTACCCCGGGTCCCCGGCTTCCCCGTTTGATGTTCCCCACTCCCCGTGGTGTCCTAACGGGCCCCGCTTGTCGTGTTTGAGTCTAGTTTGATCTTTCGGGTGCCATTCGTAGGATAAAAGAGTCTTAGGAATTGCATGCTAGTTGAATCGGTAATCCGTCGACCTAGGTGAAAGTCGTATGAACCCCTTAGGACTATTCTTAGTATGTGAATGATCACACGTAAGCTTAATTATATGTCTCCCCTTCCCAATATGCTATTATGTGTTATTGTGTGTTATTATGTGTATGTGATGCATGATCCCCCAACTTGGTTAAGATCAAGAGGGCTATACGAGCAGTTGAATGGGCTGAGAACCATCCCAATTGTTAACTAGGCCGGTTAAGATCGGTCAGGTATATAAATATTATATAGGACTGAGGTCCACTATACGGGCAGTTGAATGGGTTGAGAACCATCCCAACTGTTAACCAGGTTGGTAGAGACCGGTCAGGTATATAAAGATTATATAGGACTGAAGGTCCACATGGGCCTCGGTGATATGACCCACCGACCTGGACGCGCCAGGGGGTGTGTAGGGCCAACAAGCCGAGGAAGGCTGTAGTCCACCGACCTGAGTAATCAGGCAGTGTGTAGGGCTACGGATGGCTGCGATCCACCGAGTGATGGGACCTCGGTATGTAGCGCCGTAGTCTCCGAGGATGTGGCACCCCAAAAATCCACATTCAATCCATGGATTAATTGAGTAATTAATCCTATTTCATTTGAGGAATTAATTCCTAAAATCCTGATTTTTAATACTCAAGGACTAGTATTTGACTAGTCAATCTTTAAGTTTTGTTGTACCTTGAGCTTTGAGGGGAGTTCCCTTGTTCCTTACACTTTCTAAAGCTTAGTAAGGGTATTCTTGACTTTTCTCCAAGAGTTAGTATTGTAACCTAACCTAGAAGACTTCTTCATTTCATTCCTTACAATTCTTAGAAATTAGCTCTACCTTCTCTCTAGAAAAGAAGTGTAGCTTATTCTCCAAGCTAAGTTGAGACCCTTGTCAAGATTCCAAGATTTGCTTCCAAGATTCAATCTTTCACCTATTTGGGCATCTAGGAGGGTAATATCTAAGTCTATCTTGTGTTTTTGGTTCCATCTTAGTTGTCTTTTTCTTAAAGGTAGGATCTTTATGATCTTTTGGTTTGATCTTGAAGTGGGTTTGGATAGTAAGCCTTGTAAGGAGCTTGTTGAGGTGTAAAGTGAAGTCTTTTGGTCTACAAGAGGTAACCCATGCTCTACTAAAACCTATTTTGCTTACCTATACTTGATTTCTTGGATTCTACTTGTGTTTTGCTATGAAATGTGAGAGTTTATGCATTTGTCTTGTGATATTGCATATCTAGAGCTTGTGTTTAGGGTTCCTTTGTGCCATTGCTTGGAATTTTCCATGATTCAAGTCATTTTGTTGTATTTGGTGAGATTTGACATGTTTTGGACTTGAATTTGTGTTTGGAGAAGAAAATCCCCGAAGGGATTTGTTGTGGTACAAGAGTGTACCCGCGGGCGGGGCACCACCCGCCGGCCTACCCGCAGGTACACGGCCTTGTGGGATGATGTTCCTGCGGGCGGAACCACGGGTGGGGCACTACCCGTGGGTCCACCCGCGGGTACATGGTTGGTGTTGTGATGGGATTTGTTCCCCGTGATCCGTTTGACTCGGTATTTGGTCTTTTGACTTCCCGATGTTCTTTTGTGGAACTATTTGAGCGTCTTCTTGATGTTTCGTATGTCTAAAGCTATATGGTAGGTATCCATGTAAGACTTTGGTGTCTTGATTCGTGCTAAGTGTTCAACATTGTGTTTCGTTGGACCGAGAGGTGTCTTGTGTGTTCCTCGGAACTAGCTTGAGTTTCCCCGTTGATAAGCATGCTAGTTTGTTGTCTAAATGCTAGCGTGTGTGTGTTGTTTGTACCTTCAGTGTGGTTGATGATAACTTGCGTTATTCATCGTTGATGTTGTTGGGCTGTGACCCGTTCCTTGATTGAGTATGTTTCATACCTTCGTTGTGATCCGTTGTTTGACTCTTGTTGAGTTATGGTGCGTGTGTGGCTTTACCGGGATTGTACGATTAGTGGTATGAGACACTAGTCACCAAGGTATTGCAGCGGTCCTCGTGGTGGTCGTGGCGTGATTATGGAGCTGTGGCCTTTGTGTATGGTTCACGTTTTTGGGGGATAACATGTGTTATCCGGGCATGTGTGCCATGTGCGTGTATGATACCTCGTGTACTATGAATCGGTGGTTTTGTTGGAGAACTGTCGGAGGGGGTATGACAATTCTCGGGGGAATAAGGTTGGACTGTATGTACAGGGGTCCTGGAGGTAAAGGTTGGAACTAGATATAAGGTTGGGGGTAGCCATAAGGTTGGAACAGGGCATAAGGAAGGCATATCAACTCGTGGCGGGTGATGTCACGAGGGCTTGTGTAGCCGTGGTTGTGTATTCTCTCTTGTGACGTGTGTAGTCACAAAGGCATGTGATGCCTAGGCATGTGTTGCCGTTTGTCGTGTCTTTATTCTTTTGGTGTTGTTATCCGTTGTGGTCTTGGGATGTGTTCCCGTGGTGTTTATTGATGAGTGTTGAGTCTTGAGTTGGTGTTTACTCTTGGTTTTACACTTATATATATGTATTCCGTTTCGAAATGATTTTTGTATATACATCCTACCTATGTATGATACTTAACATGTATTGGTGGGTTACTAGCATTATCGCTGACCGGGCGTCGTCCCAATGTTTATCTTTGTTCTTTCAGGTGATGTCTAGACGAGCGCGATGTTAGTGGCCGGTAGTCTAGTGTCTTTACCTTTGTTTTGTGGCCTGTGTGCCGTTGTAGTGTTAAACTGTTACCTTTTGGGATAGATGTATACACTTGCAAATTGATCGCCATAGCGTTTACCGTGTTTGGTAGACGTGGCATAACACCCCGTTTGGATTTCTTTTATCCAGTTTTCGTTTTATCTTCTTCCGCTGTGCTAGTTTTGTTGTTTGATCTGCAGGTGTTAAGGCCTTTTATATAGGTCGTGTTTGGGGGGTGTTATAGTAGATCTTCGCCCACCGACTGAGTTTAGCTCAGCGGTGTGTCGGGCATGATCCGCTACGGTCCACCGATTGTGCGCATCAACGGTGTGTAGGATCGTAAGTCCCCCCATGTAAAGGGGATCGCGGTCTACCGACTGTGCGCATCAGCGGTGTGTCGGATCGTGATCCGACGTTGAGTTTGTCAGCGGTTCTCAAAGGGTTGGTTGCGATAAACTCGCCTCATGCCGCGGTACTGAGGTAAGGTGCTGCGGGGCCGTGTTAATGCTATAAGCATTAACCCTCATGTTCGGGGCATGCGATTGGTCCCGTGGCGCCATCAATGATTATATGATATGAATGGTGATTGGATGATGATGAGTTTGGAATTCGAAAGTGATCTGTGACCTTAGATGCGTATTCCTTATGACGTTATCTCTACTTAACTGTTTATTGTTATTTGATGAGTTTATCCCTATTTGCTGAGTCTATTTCCGGTTTTAAAGCTAGAGTCTCCTAAGTATATATCTTCCTGCTCCAAAATGATTTTCCTATATATATATATATATATATATATATATATATATATATATATATATATATATATATATATATATATATATACCTATATTGTATTTCAACGCGTTGGAGTGGGTTACCAGCATCTCTCGCTGAACAGATATATTTGGCTTTCAGGCACAGACGTGTAGATCCCAGAGCGCGCTAGAAGATCGTGGATTAGATAGATAGTCTTTCCTTTCGGCCTGCGTGCCATGATGATGTATTGAGGATATTTAGTTAGTTTAGCCTGTGCATCTGAGTTCTCCAGCTCAGATGTGGCATAGCACCCCGTACACTTATAATTAGTAATGCTCTATTTGTGATTTTATGAGAAATTACCTTTATCATATTAATTTTAAAAGTTTCAAAATTTCGGAGTGTTACAGACCGATTGGCCGCCTTGAGCCGCTTCGTTAGTAAGTCGGCGGATAAGACCGTGCCTTTCTTTGAGGCCGTGAAGAAGAAAGAAGGCTTCGCTTGGACGGCCGAGTGCCAGAAATCCTTTGAAGAATTCAAAATATATCTGTCCACGCCTCTGGTGCTATCCACCCCCCAGGTCGGTGAGCCTTTGTATTTATACTTGGCGGCGTTACCCAAGGCTGTCAGTTCGGTGCTCGTTCGCGAAGAAGAGCGAACCGAGTACCCAGTCTATTATGTGAGCCATTCCCTGAAGTCGGCTGAGACTCGGTACACGCCTTTAGAAAAGGTAGTATGCGCTTTGGCGATTACGGTGCGGAAGGTGACACCTTACTTCCAGGCGCATACGGTCCGAGTCCTGACGTACCAACCTCTGGGAAGCGTGTTACGAAACCCCACGTCGTCCGGGCGACTCGTCAAGTTGGCAGTAGAATTGACCCAATATGGAATTGAGTATCAACCCCGCCCTTCGATCAAGGGGCAATCATTAGCCGACATCTTAGTTGAGTGCACAGTGGGAGAAGATGATAGGACCTCGACCTCGGAAGAAAGCCCAGGCGAATGGTGGGAGATGCATGCTGACGGGGTAGCAAGCCGCCAGCATTGTGACGGCGGAGTCATGTTGATTACACCGGAAGGGTTCTGACTCTATTATACTCTGAGTTACCAATTTCAGACATCCAATAATGAGGTAGAGTACGAGGCCGTGCTAGGAGGTATAAGGCTCGCTAAAGCTTTGGGGGTAGACCGCCTACGAATCAAAACGGACTCGCGCCTTGTAGTAGGCCAAGTGTCCGGGACCTGCGAAGCTAAAAGCACTCGGATGACGCAATACAAAGAAAAGACCGCGGAATTGTTGAAAGGATTCGTCGCCCATGAGATAGAGTACATCTCCCGGGACAACAACACCGAGGCCGACATCCTGTCAAAGATCGCCTTGGAAGGGGTGCCGGATCATCTTGTAAGGATCTGTCAGAAGGAAGAACTGCTCGGACCTAGCATCGAGGAAATGATTACAGAGATTCAGCAGGTAACAGCCCCAGAATGGGACCGTGATGAGAACCCAGAGTTGTTTTGGATAGAAGATATTCGACGTTACAAGGAAGAGGGAAAGCTGCCAGCTGACCCCGTGGTCGATGCCCGAGTTCGCCGCAAAGCTCCTTCATTCGAAATCATAGATGGACAGCTGTATAAGCGGTCGTTTGGGGGACCTCTCCTTAAATGTCTACTCCGGACGGAGGCGGAAAAGATAATGGAGGAGGCTCACCGTGAAATATGTGCAGCCCACCAGGGTGCACACACCCTCGACCGAAAATTAGTCGTCCAAGGCTATTACTGGCCTACCATGATGAGAGATTTCATTGAGTGGATAGCTAAATGTGCAGTGTGCCAAGCGTTCGCATAGAAGGACACTCGGCCAACCACCTTTTATACACCGGTTACCACTGCCATCCCGTTCGACAAATGGGGAGTCGACCTACTGGGCCCTCTACCGGTCGCCCCGGGACGCTTAAAATTTTGTGTGGTGGCCATTGACTACTTCACTAAGTGGATCGAGGCAGAGCCTCTGGTACCCATTACTGAGTATCAGTGCCGGTGTTTTTTGTGGAAGAAGGTGATCTGTCGCTTCGGACTGCCCGAACATATAGTTAGTGACAACGGTCGACAGTTCGACTACCGACCCTTCGCGGATTTCTGTCAACGACACAACATACGGCACACTAAGGTATCAGTCGCTTATCCACAGGCTAATGTACATGTTGAAAATGCGAACCGTACAATTATAGACGGTATTCGCAAGAAGTTGGAAGATGTAGGAGGAAATTGGGCCGACGAGCTAGACCGGGTCCTGTGGGCGTACCGAACAACTCAGAGGCGAGCAACCGGTGAAAGTCCGTTCTCCTTAGCATACGGCTTTGAAGCCAAAGTACCCATAGAGGTCGTCGAGCCTACCCATAGGGTGCGTAACTACACCGATGAAGGAAACAAGGAAAGCCTCAGGATCGAGAATAATTTCTTTGAAGAACGAAGGGAATTTGTGCATGATCGCATGGTGGAATACTAGCAGGTTGTCAAGAGATATCGGGACAAGCGAATCCGACCGCGAGTGTAACACCCCAGATTTTCGGAACTTTTAAAACTTATATAGTAAAGGTATTACTATCATTAATTCCGAAACAGAGCATTACTAAACATAAGAGTTTGGGGTGCTATGCCACATCTGAGCTGGAGAACTCAGATGCACAGGCTATACTAACTAAATATCCTCAAAGCAATGTCAATACATCATCACGGCACGCAGGCCGAAAGGAAAACTAACTATCTAAGCCTTGGTCCTCTTGCGCGCTCCGGAGCTACTCATATGTTCCTGAAAGCCAAATATATCTATTCAGCGAATAATGCTGGTAACCCACTCCAACGCGTTAAAATACAATATAGGTATGTATATATATAGTTATAGAAAAACCATTTGAAGCCGGAAGATATATACTTAGGAGACTCTAGCTTTAAAAACGGAGAGTAAACTCAACAAGTAGGGACAAGCACATTCAACAGTTATAATCATGCATATAAAGATACTAGCATATATCCTAAGGTCACAAGATTATTTCACATCATTCATTTCATCATTCCATCATTCCATCATTATCTCAATCACATAAGCACACTTTGGTGGTGCCGCAAGACCCTTCACACGCCCATACACAAAGCACCAGTGCATATAGCTCTGGCATGGCCCCGACGCACCCTGCCTGTACCGCAGCACAAGGGGTCGATCGCAATCGACCGATGAACCGTAGCTCATCATAATGTTTGATCGCAACCAAACAGTGGACCGCAGCCCAAAAGTGTATTTCTGATCGCAACCAGATTGTGAACCGCAGCTCATGTAAACGTTTGATCGCAACCAAACGGTGGACCGCAGCCCTATATAATATTTATACACCTGATGGATCGCAACCGGCCTGGTTAACAGTTGGTATGGTTCTCAACCCATCCAACTACCCGTATAGTCAATTTGGTCGCAACCAAATTGGGGTATCATGCACACATAACACATAGCAAGCACATGCAACCCACAGTAGCACATTGGGAAATGGGAGAAAACGTATAAATAAACTTATGCGTGGTCATCCACATACTAGGAATATTCCTAAGGGGTTCATACATCTGTCACCTAGGCCAACGGGATACCAATTCAACTAGCATGCAATACACAAGACTCTTTTATCCTACGAATGGTACCCGAAACATCAAACTAGACTCAGGCACGATAGACGGAGTCCGTTGGGACACCAAGATGGCCGGGGAAACATCAAACGGGGAAAACCACCATCCCACATGGGAATTTCCAGCGGGTGGCCGGTGGGTGGAGGACCACCCGCCGACTGCCCGTCGGCGGCGAGGCTACTAGGCAGCGGGTGCCCGGCGGGAAGTCGCCTGCCCGCTGCCGGCAATGCCCTTTAGGGGCAGCGGGTAGGTGGCGGGATCCCCTACCCCCCACTGACTCTTTTTCAATACTCGGGTCCCAGGATCTTTTATGGAACTCGAAATCATGTTTAGACACTTTCAAACGGAAACGACGACACCACGTAGTCAAATAATGGATCAAAACCAAGAATCACATTGAACATATCCTAACATGACTTCTAAACATAATCAACACCCGAACATGCGAATTTCCACCCAAATATACCAAGAATATCACAATACGAAATTCACGATTCAACCTAGGGCTCTAATCATATTTAAATCACAAAATCATACTTTATCTTTAAAATCAAGAACATCAAGATTTATCATGAATCAACACACAATTATCAAGATCCTCTTATAATCATCAAGATTATCAAGATCAACACATAAGATCATCTCATCAATATCAAGATCATATCATAATCATCATAAAAGATTTATCAAGACACAAGCATAGAATAAGGAGCCAAAGAAGAAGATTATAGCAAGGAAAATAGGTTTTGTTGAGACATGGGTTACCTCTTAGACTTAATTAGAATCCTTGGCTATAAAGGGTCGTTCTCTAAGATCTCCTCTTCTTGATTTCTCCTATGGGAATTCTTGTGTGGTGAAAGCTATTGTGGTGTGGATTCTAGGTGCCTCCTATGTCCTTATATATATCTAAGAGTCCTAATTAGGGTCTGAATGGTATGAGTTTACTAATTCTATTTCTTATAGGACTAAGTGTTTGGTTTAGGGATAAGGGTCCATGGTCTATGGTGGACCTTTCCTAATTAATTAAGGGAATTTAATTCTCTTTTTAAGGGTAAGTAATTAAATAATTAATTTGGGTTAGAGGACTTAACACGGGGTGTTACAGCGAGCTTTCCAAGTGGGAAACCGCGTGCTGCGCGACCGACAAGCTAGCCGACCCACGAAAGGATGGAAGTTCGCAGTCAAATGGGAAGGGCCTTACCGGATAGCCGCTGTGGTCCAAGCCGGTACTTACAAATTAGAAACCTTAGAAGGAGAGACTATCGATCGGATCTGGAATGTAATCCACTTAAAGAAGTACTACCAGTAAAAGGTCAGCCTCGTGTACTTGTTTAAACACGACTTTGAATAAATACTTATCTCTTTTTGTATCTCGGGGCCATTTCTGGGATAGAAAAAGCCTAAGGGGTCGCCTCGGCTGAGGGACTCGGCAAGAAGAGAAGGAAACAAGGGCACTGACCCTTAGACATTTTTTAGAAAAAGCCTACAGGGTCGCCTCGACTGAGGGACTCGGCAAGAAAAGAGAGAAACGACGGGACACTGACCCAAAACTGTTTCTGAGATAGAAAAAGCCTAAGGGGTCGCCTCGACTGAGGGACTTGACAAGAAGAGAAGGAAACAAGGACACTTCCCTTAGACGTTTCTTAGAAAAAGCCTAAGGGGTCGCCTCGACTGAGGGACTCGGCAAGAAAAGAGAGAAACGACGGGGCACTGACCCTAAACTGTTTCTGAGATAGAAAAAGCCTAAAAGGTCGCCTCGACTGAGGGACTCGGCAAGAAAAGAGAGAAACGACGGGGCACTGACCCTAAACTATTTATGAGATAGAAAAAACCTAAGGTGTCGCCTCGACTGAGGGAATCGGCAAGAAGAGAAGGAAACAAGGGCACTAACCCTTAGACGTTTCTTAGAAAAAGCCTACTGGGGTCACCTCGACTGAGGGACTCGACAAGAAAAAGAGAGAAACGACGGGGCACTGACCCTAAACTGTTTCTGAGATAGGAAAGGCCTAAGGGGTCGCCTTGACTGAGGGATTAGGCAAGAAGAGAAGGAAACAAGGTCACTGACCCTTAAACGTTTCTTAGAAAAAACCTACAGGGGTCGCCTCGACTGAGGGACTCGGCAAGAAAAGAGAGAAATGACGGGGAACTGACCCTAAACTATTTCTGAGATAGAAAAAACCTATGGGCTCGCCTCGACTGAGGGAATCGGCAAGAAGAGAAGGAAACAAGGGCACTGACCCTTAGACGTTTCTTAGAAAAAGCCTACAGGGGTCGCCTCGACTGAGGGACTCGGCAAGAAAAAGAGAGAAACGACGGGGCACTGACCCTAAACTGTTTATGAGATAGGAAAAGCCTAAGGGGTCGCCTCGACTGAGGGACTCGGCAAGAAGAGAAGGAAACAAGGGCACTGACCCTTAGACGTTTCTTAGAAAAAGCCTACAGGGGTCGCCTCGATTTGGGGACTCGGCAAGAAAAGAGAGAAACGACGGGGTAGTGACCCTAAACTATTCCTGAGATAGAAAAAGCCTAAGTGGTCTCCTCGACTGAGGGACTCGGCAAGAAGAGAAGGAAACAAGGGCACTGACCCTTAGACATTTCTTAGAAAAAGCTTTCAGGGGTTGCCTCGGCTGAGGACCCGGCGAGAGTAAAAAGAAATAGGGAAAGCACAAGGACATATATTTTTAAGTATTTGTCAGAAAATGAGAGGTATATGGTGTCGCCTCGACTGAGGGACTCGGCGAGGAAAGCCCCCAAGGCTCGGAAAAAAAAAAAGCTGCGTAAGTTGAAAAGCAGATGCAAAATACACTGAAACGAGAAATGACTGTTTTCATTCATAAAGGTCCAAAGGGAGTACCAACCCTTACAAAAAGACGAAATCACAAAGGCCTAAGCTACAGATGGAGGTGCAGCGGCTTCAACTCCCTCTACCTGTTCCTCTGCCGATGGTCCAGCTGGAGGAACGGGAGAAGGGTCTTCTGCTTGTGGAGGCGCATCAGTGGACGTGGACAAGTTCGTCGCCGGTAAGACTGGAGGAGAGGGAGAGACAGTTGTGATAGCAGCCCCGGGCGCTGGCAGCGGCTCGAGCACCAGTTTGAGGCCCCAGCCCTCAGGAGTGAAAGAGGGATCGCGGGCTAGTAAGTGGGCGTACATCTCCAATTGTGCCTCACGGTAGCC